TAGCCATCAGCACAGCTGCAGGGACAGCACATTTCCACTCACACGCAAGGGTACGGCAGCCCATCTTTATACCTCCAAGGGATGCTTTCTAGGGCTGCAACCTCCACCCCTGCGCTTTGGGGCTGTGGTGACCCCCTAGCACTGAGTCTCTGTGCAAGAAGACCCCAGCCAGGCCTCCACATTGACAGCCCACCTGATTCCCCTCTAGCCACCCAGAATGTATTCCCAAGACCCAAACTTCACTAAGCAGCAGTCCTTGTGAGAGAAAGCCAAGAAAACACTCAAAGCCCCAGAAGCCACTGGGAGAGAGTGCTGTCTTTCTCTTGTGGCAAACCAAGGAGTCCTTGATATCTGCAGGCTCCTGGTGGCTGCAGGCAGGGTGGGGGCAGCAGTGGCATCTCACAGTGACTTAGATGATGGGCAGGAGCTTGACATGGTTTTAGGCCTGTCCCTCTCACCACCACAGGTTAGGCGGTTCCTCAGCCACTCTGCTTTTAAATAAGGTGATCTCATCCAGGTGCACCATGGGGACGTCCCGGATCACATCGGTCAGGCCCTCATGGAGCAGAGGGAAGATGACGACGTTCAACGCGGGCCTCTCAGCCTGGAAGCTGAACCAGAGAAAAGCCATTAGCAGAGCACATCAGAAGCTGGTGGAACAGAGCAGGCGCCACCTGCAGGGGAAGCCCTGGAGGTGCTTGCATCTGCCCTCACGTTAAGGGCTCACCTACAGCTCCCTGAGACCCCAGGCCTGCATGAGAGACACCCTGGTGGCAGCCAGAGCCAGAGAGGGGAAAGAGATGGAGGAGGAGAAGGAGAAGGAGGGAGGAGCGGGTCAGGCAGGGAGGAGGCACCCACCCCGTACCAGAGACAAGAGTCAGAGACCACCCTGCTCTTCAGAAACAGGAGAGCTGACCTGGGCAGACCACTGCATTCCAGGGCAGCTACTGCAAGGGAGCTATAGAGCCAATGCCTCTGGCCACCAAAGGCCCCACAGCCAAGATGGAGAGGACAGGTGTCCACACTTCCAGGCACAGGCCACCTGCAGGGGATACAATCTCTAAGTCAGGTAAGGAAGAAATATGGGCTCTGCTCTGGAACTGTGTGTGATCCCATTCACCCTTCATTGCCCAGGGACCAGCTCCCCTGCCACATTGTGCATGGGAAGCTCGCACAATATCCATGGAGCACTGCTATGTGCCAGGTGCTGTGCTGGACTTGCCCGATGTGACCCCATTTCACCCTCCCCTCAATCCCACGGGGCCAGCCTCCACTCCTCAACTGGTCAAGGGCAGGGTAGGCCCCGTCCCCAGTCAAAGCAATCCAAGTCCGCGTTGCTACTCACTGGGCCAAAGTTCAATGTAAACAAAACCATGTGCTGGTCCTGGGAACTTGATGCAGAAGACAGAACACCGCAGTATCCGTGGAGGAGACAGAAAACATACAGAAACGTCCATCTCTAGGGTCTCAGAGGGCACAAAGTGGTAAGGTGCCCATGACAGAGAACCTTGCCATTTGCCAAAACTAAGGCAAATCCCCTCTGGCCCCTGCACCAGCTTAAGGAGGAAGGCTGTGGGCTGGCCTCTCCCTGTGGCTCCTGCTTGAGACAATGCTGGAGTTTTAAAATAGGACAACATCTAATGTTTTGGCAATAGAGAAGCTGACAAACACCTCCAGGCTCTGTGTGGTGTTCTGCTCAGTGGCAACAGTGGCTGTGACTGTGAACCTCACAGCAGACACTGCCTGCACACCCATCATGGGATTTACTTGATTTAAAACAAAATCTCCGGCTCGGCGCCTGTGGCTCAAGCGGCTAAGGCGCCAGCCACATACACCTAAGGTGGCAGGTTCGAATCCCCAGCCCGGGCCCACCACACAACAATGATGGCTGCAACCAAAAAATGGCCGGGCGTTGTGGTGGGCGCCTGTGGTCCCAGCTACTTGGGAGGCTGAGGCAGGAGACTCGCTTGAGACCAGGAGTTGGAGGTTGCTGTGAGCTGTGATGCCATAGCACTCTACCCAGGGGGATAGCTTGAGGCTCTGTCTTTAAAAAAAAAAAAGAAATCTCCCCACATGTGCACAAAGGTTGTGGTATCACTCCTACAAAGCTGCTGTCCAGATGGGGGGAGGGAGGGTTTACTTCTCACAACAGCAAGAAGGGCAGTAGCTGAGCCTGTTCCAGCAAGCACAGGCTGCAGACAGCAAGGAACAGCCCTCGTTGGAGGTCAGCTAGGACTCAGGGGCAGCTAAAATGGTGTGTGCCCTTAGGCTCATGACAAATAAAACACTCAGCATTCCCTGGTCCCTGGGGTAGTTCCAGATGGCCAGAGCTCCCACCAGCAGGGGCACCATGTCTATTTAGCCAAATCTCTGGTTGGACACAATTTAGGGACTTCATTTTTATGTTTCACAAACATCAATATAATAGTAAAACAGCAGAGTTATTTCAGTATTTTAAATTGTCTCCTCAGAATAAACCCCAGAAACAGGTTTTTTGGGTCAAAAGGCATGAACATTTTCATACTCCAAAAGATAACACTTTAGGGTCACAGGGAGAAGCCAGCTAAGCTGCCCACCCCAATGGGGCCAACCAAACACTCAGGAAGACCCAAAAGGAGGACAATTGGGGAAGGGCTTCTCTAATTTTACAAACTCATTCATGTGTGCCTGAGGCCCTTTCAGATATTGCAGATAACTGGGCTGGTTGGTAGGGCTAGGCTCTGGGTTCGTCACCAACAAGACACGAGAGGACAGTGAGGACCTGCCCAGCTGCCCACAAGGCCTCAGACCATCAAGGTACACATGTTCCTGTGACTGCAAGGCAACCTGTGAGGCTAGCCCTGTAGTATCAAGGACATGGAGGCTCCAGAAAGCTGGGTCCTGCCCAGGTGCCCACATTGGACGCAACTCTGGGTGAGCCCCACATGCACAAGGGTAGGACTCTGGGGACCTCTAGGCTCTGCTGTATGGCTCTGTAGGTGCCTCGAAGCCAGAGAGGGCTCTGGAGGGACAGGCTCAGAGTACTGAGGCTGGAAGCAGAATTGGCTCAATCTTCTGAGAAACGCTTGCTGGGTTTGTCTGCCTGAAAAACTAGCTAAAACGTAAATGGTGGTCAAAAATAAAGTAGCCAATCTGGAGTCAATCAGGGAAGATCCACACAAGGCCCCAGTGCTCAGACCAAGCTCCTAGACCGCATCATGGGCATCCCGTGACCCCTGGCTGGCCCTATAAAGACTTGAGCCTAGACCCTACTCTGCCTGACAATCTCTCCCCTGCTAATGCCAGGAAGGGCAGCAAAGGAAAGGAGCAAGACAGACCCAGGGAAACACTCTGAGTTGGCTACCAAGCTGCTGCAGCACCCCACATACCAGATACATAGGGAAAAATGACAGAGGCTTTGCAGCCTCCACTGGCCATAAACCCACGAACATCTTGACTGTCACAATCTGGGTGCTGAGAGAGGCTCTGCGACCAGAAAGGCCTAAAGGAAAGGGAGGCTATGACAATTGTACCTTTGAAACAAACCAGAATGTAGGGTAGTCCAGGACCTAGGATAGGGCCCACCCCAGGGGTCAAGGGCTGGTCAGGCAGAGACTCACACTTCTCCCTGCCCCGCTGTACCCTCCTGCTCCCCCGGTGCACAGATGACAACAGATTTCTGTGACCTCCCAGATGCTTTATGTATATGCAAACAGAGATATATTACACTTTCCTTTTTGTTCTTAAACACACCTTGCTTTTCTACACTAAAAGATGCTCGATGTGATGACATAAAGACCTTCTTTGTTCTTGTATCAGCTGCACAGTATTCCAGGATTGGATGCATCAAAATTATTTACCAGTCAATCTTTCGCTAAAATGAATAGGCCAGAAGTGTAGGTCACTGCCTCTTTCCAAACTCTCTATTAAACAGAGCTATCCTCAGCATGGTTTGTGTTTTTTCTAGTGGGTGAGGCTGAGTTTTTCTCTGCAGTTCCTGCCCTGTGCACTCACATGCTCTGCCTGTTCTGAATGGTGCCATTGAATTTGTTCTCACTGACTTAGGGTGCTAATGAAATAGACCTCTGCCTGTGAGATGAGCTGCTCCCAGTTTAATGTTTTCTTTTTATAAATGACTTTTAAAATCATGCAAAGATATCCAACTACATTCACAAGAAGTGTAAATAAAAACAATAGTAACTGTCCAAGAGCAGGTAAACGAATAAGCAAAATGTGTATATACAGCCAATGGAGATTATTCAGCTTTAAAAAGGCCGTTAACTCTGACATGGATGAAACCTGAGGCCATTATGCTGAGTGAAATAAGCCAGAAAGACACACTGTATGATTCTACTCATACGAGGTGCCCAGAGTAGTCAAATTGGTAAAGACAGAAAATAGGATGGAGGTTCCCAGAGCTGGCAGAGGGGACAGAGTACAGAGGGGGATAAGAAGTGCACAATACTGTGAATACATTTTATGCCACCGACTTGTACCCTAGAAATGGGTAAAATGATAAATAGGTTTTGTATATTTTACCACAATTTAAAAAACAATGACAATGGTAATCCAGTTTTCACTTTCCTAATGGGCTAGGCCAGAGGCGGGAGTTAGAGACTATACTAGACTGTAGGGCCACTGTGACAAGCACCGCAGATAGAGACTACAACGGATTTACATTCTCACAGTTCTGGAGGCCAGCGGTCCAAGATCAAGGTGTCCGCAGGGCTGATTTCTTCCAAGGTCTCCCACCTTGGCTTGACTTCTCTGAGTCCCCATGTGGCCTATCCCTCTGCTTGCATGAATCCCTGGCAATCTCTGTGTCCAAATGTCCTCTTCTTTTAAGTACACAAGTCATACCAGATTAGGGTTCACATTAACAACCTCATTTGCCCCCTTAATTCAACTGACTCCTTAAAAGCCCTGCCTCCAAATACAGTCACATTCTGAGGGGTTACGCTTCACCATACGGATGTTGGGCACTGCATGTCAGCCCATCACAGAGGTGATAAAAAGGCACACACATGGTTGGTGGGAATTTAAACTGGCTGGCCCCCTCTGGAGGGGTCAATTTATTTATTTATTTTTATTTGTTTTGAAACAGAGTCTCACTTTATCACTCTCAGTAGAATGCCGTATCATCATAGCTCACAGCAACCTCAAACTCTTGGGTCAAGCAATTATCTTGCCTTAGCTTCCTGAGTAGCTAAGACTACAGGGCGCCTGCCATAATGCTATTTTTTAGAGACAGGGTCTCCCTCTTGCTCAGCTTGGTCTCAAACCGTGAGCTCAGGCAATCTACCTGCTTTGGCCTCCCAGAGTGCTAGGATTACAGGCATGAGCCATCACGTCTGGCCCACCACTGGTCAATTTAAGTCCACATTTTGGGCTCAGCACCTGTGGCTCAAGCAGCTAAGGCACCAGCCACACACACCAGAGCTGGTGGGTTTGAATCTGGCCAGGCCTGCCAAACAATGACAACTACAACCAAAAAATAGCCAGGCATTGTAGCTAGCGCCTATAGTCCCAGCTACTTGAGAGGCTGAGGCAAAATAATGGCTTAAGCCCAGGAGTTGGATGTTGCTGTGAGCTGTGACACCACAGCACTCTACCCAGGGCAATAGCTTAAGGCTCTGTCTCTAAATAAATAAATAAATAAATCCATATTTTGTAGCCACTAATCCATTTCCAAGAGTGGGTCCTATCGAAATGCCCACATAGGGCAGCTCCCATAGCTCAGTGGGTAGGGTGCTGGCCACATACACCAAGGCTGACGGGTTGGAACCCAGCCTGGGCCTGCTAAACAATAACAACAGTAACAAAAACCAAACAAAATAAACTAGCTGGGCATTGTGGCATGCCCCTATGGTCCCAGCTACTTGGGAGCCTGAGAAGAGAATTGCTTAGGCCCAAGAGTTTGAGGTTGCTGTGAGTGGTGATGCCCTAGCACTCTATTGAGGGGAACATAGTGAAACTCTGTCTCAAAAAAAAAAAAAAAGAAATGCCCACGTAGCACCTGTGGGAGGGTGTTCCTGAGGTGGTGGCTTTAACAGCAGTACTACA